GGGTGGGGGGGGGCGGCTGCCTGGGGCGCGGCGCGGCACGCCACAGCGGTGGCAGCTGCCAGAGGGGCGACGGCGGCGGCGGAGGCAGCGGCGGCGGCGGAGAATGAGACGAAGGCGAAGAGGGAGGAGGAGATGAAGATCGTGATGATGATGATTATGATGATGCTGATGATGCTGCTGCGGATGATCTGATGGTGATGATGATGATGATGATGATGATGATGATGATGATCGTGATGATGCAGATGGTGCTGCTGATGATGATGATGCTGAGTATGATGATGCTGATGATGATGCTGATGATGTTGATGCTGATGATGACGGAGATGATGATGATGATGGTGATGATGATGATGATGATGATGATGATGGAGATGATGTTGTTGATGTTGATGGTGATTGACATGATGCTGATTGTGATGATGGTGACGGTGATGACGATGGTGGTGAGGGTGATGATGGAGATGATGATGATGACGAATATGATGGTGGTGATGATGATGGTGATGATGCTGATGATGTTGGTTGTGATACTGATGGTGGTGATGATGATGATGATGCTTGCGACGATGATGATGCTGATGATGATGATGATGGCGGTTGTGATGATGGTGATGGTGGTGGTGATGGCGATGGTCCTGACGGCGGTGATGATTTTTATGATGACCGTTATGATGATGACTGTGGTGATGATGATCGTGATGGTGATGGTGATGATGATGATGATGATGATGAAGATGATTATGATGGCGCGGATGCCTTCGATGATGATGATGTTCACGATGATGGTGATTATGGTGATGGTGGCGATGGTGATGATGATGGTGATGATGATGACAATGCTGATGATGGTGATGATGATCATGATGATAGCGACGATTATGATATGTTTGGTGATGAGGACGGTAGCCGTGGCGGTGCGGTGTTGGTGATGACGACGACGATGATGATGATCAAGCTCATCATGTCCCTGACCATCAAGATGAGGAGGATAAGGATAATGAGGATGGGGATGGGGATGACGCTGATGACGATGATGATGATGGTGATGGCGACGGTGATGATGATACGGATGATGATGATGATGATGATGATGATGATGATGATGATGATGATGATGATGATGATGATGATGATGATGATTATTATGATTATGATTATGAGTTGGATGATGATTTTTATAGTAAAAATGATGATGTTGATGAGAATTACGGCGCTGATGGTGATGATGATGCCGATGATAATGATGATGATGATGATGATGATGATGATGATGCTGATGATGATGATGATGATGATGATGATGATGATGATGATGATGATGATGATGATGATGATGATGATATGGTGGTGGTGGTGATGATGATGGTGATGACGACCAACATGACGATGATGGTGATGGTAATTGTGACGATGACGACGATGAGGATGCAGGGGATGATGGCGACGATGACGACTGCGTTATGCCTTCTACCCTCCCCCCCTCCCCCCCCCATAACGCAACGCCCCCCCCCCTCAGTGCGTTCCCGGCACTGCCGCAGCGCATCTGGCACCACAGCGTGGGGGGGGTGGGGCGCTACGTTATGCCCCCCCCCGTACTCCCCCCCCCCCTAATAACGCGCGTTATGGTCGCTATTAAAAAATGCGCTCGCCACGTCCTCTCCCACCATCAACCACCCTTGAGGGAGTTCCGCGCCCAGGTGAACCTGCCAGGGGTCTAGATTCCAGAGGCCACCTCCTCACCCACCTTTCCTCGACCAGCGACCGCGGTCCGCAGCTGTGGTCGCTCGTCCGTCCGTTCGCTCGTTCGTTCGCTCTCCCCCTCTCCCTGGCGACTCCTTCCTGCGCTTGTCTCTCTAACTCCTTGTCCGACTCCTGCTCGCAACATGTCCTCTGAGGGCCCCGGGCCCCCCCGCGCGGCCCTCGTTTGGGGTCGGTCCCGCCGGACCGACATCGCGCGCTCGCCTCGCCGCCTCGCTCGCCGCGTCCCGGCCATCCTTGTGTCGAGGAGGCTCGGGCGTTCACTTCCGGGGGGTTGATGGATGGGGGGTCAAGGAAGGTGCACCTTTCGTACCCCTTCGGGGCCCCAGTGGGCTCGTTTAGGGCCCAGTTAGGGCCCCTTGCGTGCAACCCTCGACGCCCCCCCCCCGTCTCTCGCCCCCCCAATACCGAACGCCCGAGAGGCGGTGGCCGGGGGGATCTCCGCGGCTCGGCGGGGCTGCGCCAGGCTGGCCGGGCGGCCTCGGCCGAGGTGCCCCGGAGCCGACGGGCCTTGGTGCCCCCAGGGTGGGCGACTGTGGCATGGCGTCAAGTCGGGCATGTCCTTCTACAGGAGAAAGCTTAAGAAACGATCCCAAAGTAGTCTGGGGGCGATCTTTTGATTATTTTCTCGACATAGGCTTGCCGTATAGGAGTTCTAACTCAAACCCTACTAATTAGTCCGTTCCCCCCCCTAATTCCTATGCCCCCCTAATTCCTATCGCTATCCCCATGCCTATGCCTATGCCTCCCCCTAACTCCTATGCCTACGCCTATGCCTACGCCTATGCCTATGTCTATGCCTACGCCCATGCTCGCTTGCGCTTGCTTGCTCCCGATTGCTTGCTTGCGCTTGCTTGATTTTGCTCCTCCCGTCCTGCTCCCGTCCTCATTTCGCCCTCCTCCCATCCTCCTGTTGTCCTCCTCCTGTCCTCCTATCTATTTGGAATCAACGCTGGCTGATATTTAAAAGTGTTGGAGTATTTGTGACTTTTTTATTTGCTCGTCCAAAATCCGCCTGCAGGAGGGCATGCCCGACCTGAACCTTGAGTCGCAGGAGTTGGCCTGTTTCCCTGCTCTCTGGGAGCCCCTGGTGGTTACCGCGGTTCGAGGTGAGGGGCCGACTACAGCACTGATGTACCCCAAGGTTAATGTGTCCGTCGAGTCTACGCCGTAGAATGATCTGTAGATCGACGAACATTCTACGCGCTTATCCGAGTTTGGTGCAAATCAAGTCTGGCGACGATCCCCTACTCGAGCGTTCAGGTTCGGAGTCCTTGGCTCAACCTTGCGTGATTGCTTGGGCTCCTGGGCGCTGGACCATCCCTGATGGGCCCACATCCCACAACCACTACCAGAGGTAGGAGAGGGAGGAGGAGGAGGAGAAGGAGGATGAGGAGGACCTCCTCATCATCCTTGCTCCCCCTGTCCTATGTCTGGTAGCGGTGGTGGAAAATCTGCCCATCAATCCCCGAGACCTTCTCGGAGCTGCAGGTGGCGGCCACATATGTGGGCTCGGGGCGCCTGGCTCGGCGTGCCTTCGGCCGCTGCGGCGCGGCCGAGGCGTGCCCCTCCCTCCTGTTGAACACGCGCAGGCGCGCGTCGCCGCCTTGGAGTGCTGAGGGCCGATGGACAGGGCTCACGTCCTCATGTGTGATTAAAAAGTCGGGATTCTCGCTAGATGCTTCCTCGCCACTTCTTCGGGAGTCGCGCTCTCGCCCGGGAAATCCTATCCTGGTGGTGCATTCGCGACTCGCTCTCTCGGCGCTCTGGAGTTGCGCACTCGCTGTTGACATCCTCATACGGTAATCCGGAACAGCACGGTCGCCTGAGACTTCCTCGCCATCCCCTCTTGCTAACCCAATTGCTAGTCTTTATCGTTCTCCATATTCCTCCCTCCCTCCCTCACTCTTGCCCCTGTCCCTCCTCCCTCCCTTTCCCCGCCCACGTCCTCCTCACTCTCTCCCTTTTCTGTGACTTCTGTTATTCCTGTGTTGTGGCAGGGAAGAAAAACATACCCCCAAAAAAGGGTGCGATCAAAGACGAGGAGGGCGGGTATCGAGTGCTTGGGCGTTGCATGTTGGTAGACACCTGAACATTTGAGAGCGACCCGTCGTAAGTGTTGCTCTTGTCGTCGTCCTCGCCCGCGGCCAGCCCGCGGCCAGCCCGCGACCCACCCTGCAGCCCACCCCGCGACCCACCCCGCGACCCACCCCGCGACCCACCCCGCGACCCACCCCGCGCCCGCCCCCCCACTCCGGTCCGCGATGGGGGGGGTGTTGCGCGTGCGGCCGCGCTTCGGGCCGAACGAAAGGGGTGGATAGGAAAAGGGGGGGTTACGAAATCTGCTGCTCGCAGCTGGCTTCCGCCCCGCCGCTGGGGCCATTCCTCGATACGTGGGCGCCTCCCGGCGCCCACGTATCGAGGCGCCAGGAAAACCAGCCGCGCGAGCTGACTCTCTACCCTGCCCTCTGCTATCCTGCCCTGTCGCCCCCCCGAGCACTTCAGGCCCCCATCCCGGCCGAGAGACCTCCGACTTGCCGCCAGGGCGCTTCGGGCCCTCCCTGCCCTGCCGCCCCTCGCTGCCGTTGCCGTGGCACCGTACGGTCGGACCGAGGTATAAGATCGAGGTCGGTTCGGGGAGGGTGCCCCGATGTCGGCCGCGAGCGATGGGAAGGAAGTGAGGAGGAGAAGGCCTCATCAGAAGACTCAGAAGTCCCCCAGCCTTCTGAGAGGTTTTTGGAGTCTTCCCCGAAGACCCAGAAATCTTCTCAGAAGGTACGAGGGCTTCTGAGAAGTCCCGCCGCCTTCTGAGAAGGCCTTCTCCTTCTCGTTTCCCCCCTCACTGGTCGCCGATGGTGGTCTTCGTGTTTTTTTCTGGACGTTCTTGTGCCTCCTGGGGGAGGGCACCCTCGAGTGACCTTGTGGTCTGGGACCTTTTTTGGCCGGCAGAGGGCCTCATGTTCTTGAAGGGTATCATTATGTTTTTGGTCCAGCTGTAGGGTTAAGTCGGGCCTGTCCCTCTACAGGGGGAATCTTCAAAAATAGTCAAAACATGATACGGGGACGATTTTTTGACACTTTCTGAGCATTTTTGGTGTATTATTCCCGGAAAGGGCAAGAGCCCAGGGTTCTCTTTTAGTTTGTAAACTTAATCCCCCGGTGCCTGCTTGAAGGAGGCCGGCGAATTTTTTCCCTGATAAATAACGAGGTCGAAGGAGGCCGGCGAATTAAAATTTGAGGATGTCTCGAGCGAAACGCTTGTTTTTGAAATCCCGATCGATAAATCACAGGGAGCGGGCCACTTTTTCGTGTGTTGAGGATGTCTCGAGCGAAACGCTTGCTCCGCAGAGTTTGCCGAGGATGTCTCGAGCGAAACGCTTGTTTTGCAGAGCCGACCGCGACGCGGAAAAGCGCCCCGCGATTTCCTGGAATTTTGGCAGGATTCTCGATGCACGACCACACCCCAGCACGACCAGACCCCAGCACGACCCCACCCCAGCACGACCCCACCCCAGCACGACCCTACCCCAGCACGACCACACCCCAGCACGACCCGACCCCAGCACGACCCTACCCCAGCAAGACCACACCCCAGCACGACCACACCCCAGCACGACCTCACCACAGCACGACCACACCCCAGCACGACCACGCCCCAGCACGACCACGCCCCAGCACGACCACGCCCCAGCACAACCACCCCCAGCACGACCACCCCCCCAGCACGACCACGCCCCAGCACGACCACCCCCCAGCACGACCACACCCCAGCACGACCACTCCCCAGCACGACCACACCCCAGCACGACCACACCCCAGCACGACCACACCCCAGCACGACCCGATCGATAAATCACAGGGTGCGGAGCACCCCAGCACGAACCCACCCCAGCACGACCCCACCCCAGCACGACCCCACCCCAGCACGACCACGCCCCAGCATGACCACACCCCAGCACGACCACACCCCAGCACGACCACTCCCCAGCACGACCCCACCCCAGCACGACCCCACCCTAGCACGACCACACCCCAGCACGAACACACCCCAGCACGACCCCACCCCAGCACGATCACACCCCAGCACGACCCCACCCCAGCAAGACCACACCCCAGCACGACCGCACCCCAGCACGACCTTACCACAGCACGACCACACCCCAGCACGACCACGCCCCAGCACGACCACGCCCCAGCACGAACACGCCCCAGCACGACCACGCCCCAGCACGACCACGCCCCAGCACGACCACGCCCCAGCACCAAACAATAACACGAAAAACAGACCAACAACCTTCAAACCGCCCCAGCACGACCACGCCCCAGCACGACCACCCCCAGCACGACCACCCCCCAGCACGACACCCCCCACGCACGACCACACCCCAGCACGACCACTCCCCAGCACGACCACACCGCCTTGGTTGAGTGGTTGCCTGTCGTCGTGAATGTTTCGTGGGGTGTCTCGTGGAATGTTTCGCGGGGTGTCTCGTGAAATGTTTCGTGAGGTGTCTCGTGGAATGTTTCGTGAGGTGTCTCGTGGGCTGTTTCGTGAGGTGTCTCGTGGGATGTTTCGTGAGGTGTTGCCCAGTTGGGTATCATGAAAACGTGTCCATGCTCCACATGTCTATATCCCTTTCCGGGTTCGTGGGTCCATCATGTTTGAATATGTTTAATTTTTCGTCCAAAATCCGCATGTGGGGGACATGCCCGACCGAACTGTAGGGGTGGGGGGGGTCGAGGATCGATCGAGGATCGAGGATCGATCGAGGGTCGAGGATCGATCGAGGATCAATGATCGATCGAGGATAGAGGATCGAGGATCGATCGAGGATCGAGAATCGAGGGTCGAGGATCGAGGATCGAGGATCGATCGAGGGAAGCTCGGCCCCGCCCCGCCCCCGTGCCCCGGGGCAGCGCAGGCGGACCTGAGCACCACTCCGTGGGGGCGAGCCACATGTCCCGGCTGCTCGGTGGTGGACGTCCCGCCAGGGGTTGGGGGGGAGCGCCGAGGAGGGGGGAGGAGCTCAGAGTCAAGCAGTGGCGAAGCGTTTTGGCTCGCCTATAGGCCTACCAAAGAATGTTCTAAGAACCTTTTGTGGTCTGCACGACATGTTCTTAGCACATTTCTGGTTGTGACTGTCTTGGTTAAACACATCGGGCTTACATTCTCAGAACATTTCTGTTGTGGCGTGGCCTTCCAAGACCTGTGCATCCTTATTGTGCCTCTTTCTCCTACGGGTTGTCTGCATGCTTCCCCCACTGAGCCAGCCCCTCCCTATGGTTCAAACGGGCCATTGGGGGTACCAAAGGCGTAGGGGTACCCAAAGCGGGTGGGTTGGGCTTCACGTCAGCTGCGTGGCAATTCGAAGTGAAAGTTAACATTTGTGTCTGCTGAGCACGTGTATTTTGGTCGCCCCAACCCACCCGGATTTGGTACCCCTACGATTTCGGTACCACTCGTGGTTCTGCCGAATGGTTGCCCCGCAGGGGCCGAGGATCCGGTCGGCCAGCTGCCCCCCTCCCCCACTGCCCAGTCTTCGTTTGCACGCCGACGCGTCTCTGCCAACCCGATCCCCGAGCTGGACGGTAGAGGGGATGCTGCCTGAAGACCAAATAAGTGGAGGAGGAGGAGAAGGAGGAGGAGGAGGAGGAGGAGAACCAGGAGGAAGACCAGGAGGAGGAGAAGGAGGAGGAGGAGGAGGAGGGAGGGGGAGGGGGGAGGAGGAGGGAGGAGGAGGAGGAGGAGGAGGAAGGGAGGAGGAGGAGGAGGAGAAGGAGGGGTGGGACGAGAACGAGGAAAGTGAAGAGGAGACGAGGGATGAGGAAAGCATGCAGCCGCAGTAGGATGAGGAGAACCAGGAGGAAGGGAAGGAGAGTTATAAGGAGATGAGGGGTGGAGTGAAAGGGGTAGGGGAGGAGAGGAGAGGAGGGAGGTAGAGGAGGGGAGGAGCAGAGGAGGGAGAGGAGGAGGAGAGGAGGAGGAGGAAAGGAAGGAGGAGGAGGAGGAGGAGAGAGAGAGGAGGAGGAGGAGGCGGAGGCGGAGGACGGAGGCGGAGGCGTAGAGGAGGAGGAGGAGAGGCGAGTGCGGAGGAGGAGGAGGAGGTTTGAGGCGGAGGGGAGGAGGAGGAGGTAAGGAGGAGGAGGAGGAGGAAGGGGGAAGGAGGATAGGAGGATGAGGAGGAGGAGGAGGAGGAGGAGAAGGAGGAGGAGAAGGAGGGAGAGGGGGAGGGGGTGGAGTAGGAGGAGGAGGACGAGAGGGAGGAGGTGGAGGAGGAGGAGGAGGAGAAACAATAATAACAAGACAAAGACGAAGAGGAGGAACACGAACCATACGAATAATAATACCGCATAGACCATCCTTCGGGTGATAAGGAGGCGAGGGGGGGACCACCGTCGCACTCGATCGATCTCACTATCGATCTCGCAATCGATCTCATTATCGATCTCATTCGATCAAGCTCACAATCGATCTGGCTATCGATCTCACACTCGATCTCACGATCGACATCACAATCGATATCACAATAGATCGCACAATCGATCTGGCTATCGATCTCACGATCGATCTCACATTCGGTCTCACGATCGATCTCACTACCGATATCACTATCGATCTCATTCGATCGATCTCACAATCGATCTCACAATCGATCTCACATTCGGTCTCACTATCGATCTCACTATCGATATCACGATCGATCTCACAATCGATCTCACAATCGATCTGACTATCGATATCACTATCGAACTCACTATCGAAGTCATGATCGACCTCTCGTTCGATCTCACTATCGATCTCACTATCGATATCACCCTCAATATCACAATCGATCTCACATTCGGTCTCACTATCGATCTCACTATCGAACTAACTATCGATCTCACTATCGATCTCACATTGGGTCTCACTATCGACCTCACTATCGATATCACAATCGATCTCACAATCGATCTCACATTCGGTCTCACTATCGATCTCACTACGGAACTCACCATCATCACCACCACCATCATCACCATCATCATCATCGTTGTCGACATCATCATCTTCATCGTCATCATCATCATCATCATCATCATCATCATCATCATCATCATCATCATCATCATCATCATCACCGACGGGACACCGACGGGAAACCACCATCATCACCATCATCATCATCGTTGTCGACATCATCATCTTCATCGTCATCATCATCATCATCATCATCATCATCATCATCATCATCATCATCATCATCATCATCATCACCGACGGGACACCGACGGGAAACCGGCGGGACACCGAACGGGAAACCGTCGGGATAGGACACCGCGGGGGCCCGGCCTAGCCCGGAAGGGAACTTGGTCCGGGAGCCGCGCCTCACCGACAACGGGACACCAGGGGATACAACAACCGCGGGACAAAACCGCGCAGGCCAGGGCCGCGGCCGAACCCCCTGAGCCCGGAAGGGAATCAGTTGGTCCGGCGGCGGCGCCTCAGCCACAGAACTGTCCTCTCGGCCCGCCCACGCAGCTTCGCCTCCCCGCACGCACGGCACGCCACGTGACAACGACAGAAACCGAAATCGATATCCCGGTAGGCAGGCTCTCCGTTCCACCACGTCGATTCTTACCTCCCTCACCTATACCTCCGAATAAGAACAAAAAGAAGTACCACTATGATGTACTAGAAGGAAAGACGAAGAGAAGGAGGAGAAGGGAGGAGGAGGAAGAGGCGGTGGAGGAGGAGTAGGAGGAGGAGGAGGAGAGAGGAGGAGGAGGAGGAGGAGGAGGAAAGGGAGGAGGAAGAGGGGGGAGGGAGTGGGAGAGCAGGAGAGACGAGGAGAAGAGGAGGAGGGATAGGAGAGAGGTAGAGTAGGACGGGGGAGGTGGAGGAGGATGAGGAGGAGGAGGAAGAGGAGGAGGAGGAGGAGGAAGAGGAGGCGGAGGAGGAGGAGGAGGAGCATGAGGAGGAGGAGGAGGAGGAGGCGGAGGATGAGGGAGGAGGCGGAGGAGGAGGAGGAGGACGAGGAGGAGGAGAAGGATAACCCTGAGGACGAGGAGGAGGAGGAGCAGGAGGAGAAGCACAGGCTGGGCTAGCGACCACGGCGCATCGACCTGGGTCAAGAGGCAGCGCCAAATGACAAGAAGTAGACACAAAGACGTTCAAAGACCAGCAGTGCAGCAGTGCTGCAGGGAGCCTCGCATAGAAGTTTGAGCCAGAGGGATCCAGGAGGAGGAGATCATCATGCGCGTTGCGGACCGCAGCGTTGTGCATATGTTCAGCAGCTGCAGCGCACGTTTCCGTGACCCATTTATTTGGGCATTCGTTTTTTTTGTTCGCGAAGGGACTGCACGATCCGTGCGTGACCGCGTAAGCCGTGTAGGCGAGACACTTTGCTATTTGTGCATTTGAGCGGCGGGAGAGAGAAGGGTCGATTACGCCGACATTCTCAACGAAAGAATTCCACGTAGGTTCGCGCATAAGCGTTCTCGCTTCGAATGTTCCTCGTGACCCAGAATTGGGTCCAGCTGAATGGGGGTGGTGCAATAGATTGGGGAAATTCTTTTGCAAATGCAAAGCGCCGGACAATTGTATTGCACTGGATTGCGATTCATGTGTTGCACTCGAAAATCCAGCAATACATTTGCGCATCTCAAATCTACTGCATCCCAATCTATTGCACCAAATCTATTGCACCACCCGAGAAGAGGATAATGAGGAGGAGGAGGAGGAGGAGGAGGAGGAGGAGGAGCAGGCGGCGGACGTCACGGCCGCGCGGCGAGACAGACGGGAGGTCTGCAGGTTCCAGCGGCACCCGTTCAAGCCGCTCCTGCTGGACTGGCATCCCGACATACCTGCCTCCAAAGTGGTCGGGGCAGGGGCGGAAGGTTCATTGCAGGGGATCGGCTCCGCGTAAGAGTGACCTGTCGCCAGGGTGACCTTTGGTGCGGGCCCTATGGGGTTCCCCGATTCGCTGAACGCGAAGCGGTAGCAGCGGCTTGCGCGCCTGGGTTTGGCCACCCCGCATCTCCCGTTAAGCCGCGCACCAAAGGTTACTCTTACCTAGTGTCACTTCGTACGCGCAGCCGAAGGGGAGGAGTCAGAGGACGGAAAGGTACCGATACAATCACCCTTCCATTGTTTCCACTTGCTTTGCCCCTCGGGGGCAGGGGCGGGTGGCCGATATCGGTACGATTGCGAGAGAATGGGGACGAAGACTGACAGCAGTCCCTGTGTATCTTGGACAGGACTTGCTGTCGGTGCCGCCGCGGGTCTAGTCGATTTGAGACAGAAGGCCGCCTGTCCAACAGCGGCCGCTGTCGGTTCTGGACAACATGTGCTGTTGGGCATCGTACCCATGTTTGTTCGTACCCATTTCGCGCCTCCAATCGAATGCAGGGGAGGAGTCAGAGTACGAAGGGGCACCGATACCGGTACCGCTCCCTCGTTTCCACCCGTTTTGCCCCCCGGGGGCTCAACATGCAGGTGTAGGCGGATCGCGCGGTCGCGCTCAGGGCCGCCCAAGGCCGCGCTGTCGCGAGGCACCGAGCCGAGCGAGCGCGGTGGACGGTGGCGGCGGCAACGGAAGGAGGCACAAAAGGGTCGGACCCACTTTTTCCTCAGCTCGAGTGTTTGGCGCGCTGCCTCTCTCTCCCCCCCTCTGGCACGCCGGCCAGTTCGCCTTGCGGTTGCCCCGACATGCCGCAGGCTGGAGCGGATTGCCTCTGCCTCGCCGCCGACGGAAAAAGTTTGGCGTTAAGTCGGGCGTGTCCCCAACAGGATTGATATCCCAAAATAGTAAAAAGACGTAGTCTGGGGACGATCTTTTGACTGCGCTTGATTTTTTGTTTGGGCATTGTTTGATATTTTGACAAAAACATCCATGTGTTGGAGGACAGTGCCGACCTGACGCTGAGCTCGACTCGAGTAAGCCAGAACCCAGAATTCGGGTTAGCCGACGTTTTTTCCCGGAAAGGGCGCGGGCCCAGGGTTCTCTTTTAGTTTGTAAACTTAATCCCCCGGTGCCTGCTTGAAGGAGGCCGGCGAATTTTTTCCCTGATAAATAACGAGGTCGAAGGAGGCCGGCGAATTAAAATTTGAGGATGTCTCGAGCGAAACGCTTGTTTTTGAAATCCCGATCGATAAATCACAGGGTGCGGGCCACTTTTTCGTGTGTTGAGGATGTCTCGAGCGAAACGCTTGCTCCGCAGAGTTTGCCGAGGATGTCTCGAGCGAAACGCTTGTTTTGCAGAGCCGACCGCGACGCGGAAAAGCGCCCCGCGCGAAGGAATTTCGATGATGTCTCGACTAATTCCTTTGTTTTTGTACGATTTCCTGGAATTTTGGCAGGATGTCTCGAGCGAAATGCACGACCACACCCAGCACGACCAAACCAGCACGACCACACCCCAGCACGACCAGACCCCAGCACGACCAAACCCCAGCACGACCCCACCCCACACCCCAGCACGACCACACCCCAGCACGACTACCCCAGCAGCACGACCAAAGTCACGACCACACCCAGCCACGACTCACCACGGCCCGACCAGCCGCACGAACGCCCCGCACGACACGGCCCAGCACCGACCACGCAGCCGACCACCCCCCAGCCCACGACCCCCCCGCACGACACCCCAGCAGACCACACCCCAGCCCGATCCACACCAGCCACGACCACTCCAGCACGACCAACCCCAGCCGCACCACCCCCCAAACCCCAGCACGACCACCCCAGCACGACCACGCCCAGCACGACCACACCCGCACGACCCCTATCGGATACTCACATGGGTGCGGAGCATCCCCAGCACGAAACACCCAGCACGCCCCACCCCCCAGCACGACCCCACCCAGCCGAACCACGCCGCATGACCAACCAGCACGACCACACCCCAGCACGCCACGCCCCAGAGACCATCCCAGCACGACCAACCCACCTCGCCGACCACACCCAGCACGACCACACCCCAGCACGACCCACCCCAGCACGATCACACCCAGCACGCCCCCCGCCAAGACCCCCCCCCAGACGACGCACCCCAGCACGACCTTCACCACAGCACGACCACACCCAGCACGACCACGACCCAGCACGACAGCCCCGCCCGGACCACGCCCAGCACGACAATCGCCCCAAGCACGACCAGCCACGCACGACACCCAGACCACCCCCCCAGCACGACAACCCCCCAGCACGACCACCCCCCAGCAGGACCACACCCCAGCACGACACTCCCCAGCACGACCACACCGCCTTGGTTGAGTGGTTGCCTGTCGTCGTGGAATGTTTCGTGGGGTGTCTCGTGGAATGTTTCGCGGGGTGTCTCGTGAAATGTTTCGTGAGGTGTCTCGTGGAATGTTTCGTGAGGTGTCTCGTGGGCTGTTTCGTGAGGTGTCTCGTTGGATGTTTCGTGAGGTGTTGCCCAGTTGGGTATCATGAAAACGTGTCCATGCTCCACATGTCTATATCCCTTTCCGGGTTCGTGGGTCCATCATGTTGACGAGCCTGTCCTAGATTTTGACGGTCCAGTCAGTTTTCGTGGGATGTCTGCAGCTGCAGCTCGCGTCAAGTGTAAGACTGGGTCTCGTCATTTTTAGGATGGCCCCGTCAGGCCAACCCGAGTCCCCCTGTGCCGAGTGTTTACGTCTCCCCGACACACGCTGGAGCGGACTGCCTCTGCCTCGCCGCCGACGGAAACGGTTCGTCCGAGGCGGGAATTTACACATGACCACCGCCCGGAGGATCAGTCTTTGGGAACCTCGGCAGGCGGTGGATCTGGGTATACTCGGGCCCCCGGGGGCCAACATATTTCCATATCCGCCGCCCGCTGGGGCACCGGGACGTCGCTTCCCAGGCGGTGGACATGGATAAGTCCCCGCATCGCAGCTCGGCGCGCGGAGCTCTCGGCCGGCGCCTGCCTGCCCGTGGGCCCCACAGGAGTGCCCGACGCGCGCGGGCGCCCCCGCGGCGCACGTGCTCTCCCGCGGCGGCGCGCCCGCGAGGGGGGCGTGCCGCCGCGGCTCGCCGAAGGCAGCCCTGGTGTGAAATCGGGCACGCCCCTCTCCAGGGAGGAGTAGTCACAGACAGTCCAACAATTGTTGTTCGACGACTCTCGATGATGCTTCGATGGTTTAAGCATTCTGTTCCGAGGCTTTCTATGATTTGTTGTATGATGATGTGCTACATTTCTGAGATGTTATATGATGATGTTTCGTGATTTTCTATGATGTTGATTTTCTTTCTACGATGTTCGATGGGCTTCGATGATACCCTGTGATTGGTCGGTGAAATCAGGGGACGATTTTCCTATGAATTATCTAAACTACTGTTTGCATAATGTTTGACTATGTTGCATTTTTCCTCCAAGATCCGCCTGTAGGAGTACATGCCCGACCTGACCCTCCTGGCCAGTGCCCTGTCTACTGTTGGGCGCGAATGAAATGCGGGGGTGTTAATGAGTGGGGGGCAGCCAGGGCTGCGGAGGAGGCGCCCTTCAGGGCCCCTGTACTCAGGGCCGGGCCCGTGCGGACCCGGAGGAGGCCTGCAGTGCCCGAAAAGGGCACCAGTCTCCCCCCCACACTCTTTTATTCAGGAGGGAAAAAAAACACACAGACACAATTAATCTGCGATTCCCAGAAAATATGGGAAAATATGGGAAGTGGGGGGGAAGACAAACACCCAGAAAATATGTGAAAATATTGGGAATAATTTTATTTGTGTGTATTTATTTGTGTGTCCCAGTTTCCCTTCATGTATAGGGTGGGGCGAAGGACAGGTGCCCTGTTCGGGCCGGCCTTGGGCGCGAAGTAATGGGGGGCGATGCTGCATGAAGTATCGCCCCCCAGTCACTCGCGCCCGATGCTGGCCCGCACTGGTGATCGCCGTGGGGGGAGCGGGCCCTGAGGGAGACGGCTCTGGAGATGTTCCCGTCGTCGTTCCTGGGCTTCCCCCGGGCCCTCCGCGGGCCCCGGGGGGGGCTGTCCGAGAGCGGCCCCGGGAGGAGGAGCTGGTCTCGGGGGGGGAGGCCTCGCGAGGGTCCCGGGCCCCATTCCCTGGACTTACGTCGGGTATGTCCCTCCAGAGGAGAACTATTCCAACATCGTTTACAAGAATAGCCTGGGGACGATGTTTTACTATTTTTGGCTATGTCTGAGCATGTGTCTGTTATTTTTCATTTGTCGTTCAAAATCCGCCTGTAGGAGGACATGCCCGACCTAACCCTGGACCCGTTTCCCCATGCTAAAGTTAGAATGTTCGGAGGGACGTACGACTCGAGAGCGCCGCAACTCGGGTGTGCCGACGATTTTTGACGAGCGCGTCCTCGAATTCGACGGTCCAGTTTCCGTGGGATGTTTGCAGCGAGAGTTCGCTTCAAATTTCGGATTGAATATCATCATTGCCATGATGACCCCGTCAGGCCAACCCGAGTCCCCCGAACCCAAGTCTTACGTCTCCCCGACATGTACACTATGGGAGGCTACAGTGTAACTCAATTCCGGTATTTTCCAGTTTTCGGGGTTCCCACGGCGCCCGCATAGCGCCCCGATGGTGCCCAGATGGCGTCCCGATGTCGCCCGATAGGGTCGGACAGCGTCCCGATAGCGTACGATAGCGCCGGACGGTATCCAGGAGCGCGCGCGTCACGGAGGCTTACCGTGATTTGCATTCCGATTGTAGGGCGGGGGTGGGTGGATTCAGTTCCCCCCCTTTGCAGCATTGTGCTTGCAAGGAGCGGGTGCGTGGGAGCCTGTCAGAAGGCGGACCCCCTGGGGTGCATGTGAAACTTGAGCACGTATGGATAAGGAGGAGGACAGAAGACGAGAGGAAGGGCAGGCAGTGCCGAGTCGGGCCCCAGGGGCCCAAGCCCGGCGCTCCACTTCAGGTAGGCTGCTGGGCCTCTCGGGAGGCCCTCGTCGCCTCGGCTGGCTTCGCCCTGGCATTCTGCTCCCAACGCACCCCGGGGGAGGCCCGGGGAGCAGCGGTGTCGTTGCCACACGCGGCAGGACGAGAACGAGCCCAGGAAGAAGCAACGGTCAAGTCGGGCCTGTCCCTCTACCGGCGGAATATTCAGAAATGGTGAAGGTCCGCGCGGAGCTCTTTGGGATCGGAGCGGGGCTCCACCGGCGCGCGGAGCGCGCCAGGGGTGACGCTGGAGGCGCCGCCAGATGGGTCCAGCGCCGATCCAAGAGATCCGCGCGGCTGCTCCGATCGTGTTTTGTGCATCGCTGTCGTCCGTTCCTCTAGTTAGGGTTGGGTCGGGCATGTCCCCCTGCAGGCGGATTTTGGACGATTTTTTGGCTTGAGCAACAAAATCAAGCATTTTCAAGCATGGCGGGGGGAGGGGGACAAAAACATTCCAAAAATCATCCCCAGATTATTCCCGGAAAGGGCGGGGGCCCAGGGTTCTCTTTTAGTAGGTAAACCTGTCCCCCGGTGCCAACTTGAGGGAGGCCGGCGAATTTTTTCCCTGATAAATAACGAGGTCGAAGGAGGCCGGCGAATTAAAATTTGAGGATGTCTGAGCGAAACGCTGTTTTTGAACCCCGATCGATAAATCACAGGTGCTGGACGGTCATTTTGGGGTGGCAAGGGGTGGGTGTCAGATGGGGGGGAAGTGAGGGTGGGGGTTGGGAAGTTTGGGTGGGGGGGGGGGTGCGGCCCGGGTGTGGGGGGCCACTTTTTCGTGTGTTTAGGATGTCTCGAGCGAAACGCTTGCTCCGCAGAGTTTGCTGAGGATGTCTCGAGCGAAACGCTTGTTTTGCAGAGCCGACCGCGACGCGGAAAAGCGCCCCGCGCGAAGGAATTTCGATGATGTCTCGACTAATTCCTTTGTTTTTGTACGATTTCCTGGAATTTTGGCAGGATGTCTCGAGCGAAATGCACGACCCCACCCTAGCACGACCACACCCCAGCAGACCACACCCCAGCACGAACCCAGACCAGCAGGACCCCACCCCCAGCACGAACCCCACCCCAGCACGACCATACCCAGCCCGCCCACACCCAGACGGACCGACCCCAGCACGACCTACCCCCCGCAAGACCAACCCCAGATCTCAGCACTGTCGAGGCTAAGCATACCCCACCAGCACGACACACCCAGCACGACCACGCCCCAGCACGACCAGCCCGATCACGCCCGCGCACGACACGCCCCAGGCAGACCCCCCCCAGCACGACCATCCCCCCCGCACGACCCCCCCAGCACGACCACCAGACGCCCACACCAGCAGACCACACAGACGAATCCGCACGACCACTCCCCAGCACGACCACACCCCAGCACGACCACACCCCAGCACGACCACACCCCAGCACGACCACACCCCAGCACGACCAGATCGATAAATCACAGGGTGCGGAGCACCCCAGCACGAACCCACCCCAGCACGACCCCACCCCAGCACGACCCCACCCCAGCACGACCACGCCCCAGCATGACCACACCCCAGCACGACCACACCCCAGCACGACCACTCCCCAGCACGACCACACCCCAGCACGACCACACCCCAGCACGACCACACCCCAGCAAGACCACACCCCAGCACGACCGCACCCCAGCACGACCTTACCACAGCACGACCACCAGACGACCGCACCAGGCGCCTTTACCACAGCACGACCCACCCCGCACGACCACGCCCAGCGACCAGCCCGCACGACACGCCCCCGCCGACACGACCCAGCACGACCACGCGCCCCAGCAAGGAACCACCCCAGCTACGACACAGCCCAAGCACGGACACCCCCAAATAAGGCATGCAAGAGGTCGCACCCCAGCACGACCACTCCCCAGCACGACCACACCGCCTTGGTTGAGTGGTTGCCTGTCGTCGTGGAATGTTACGTGGGGTGTCTCGTGGAATGTTTCGCGGGGTGTCTCGTGAAATGTTTCGTGAGGTGTCTCGTGGAATGTTTCGTGAGGTGTCTCGTGGGCTGTTTCGTGAGGTGTCTCGTGGGATGTTTCGTGAGGTGATGCCCAGTTGGGTATCATGAAAACGTGTCCATGCTCCACATGTCTATATCCCTTTCCGGGTTCGTGGGTCCATCATGTTTTAGACTCTTTTTCCTACTGGCTCTGCTCGAAGGGTCTTACTCTGTTAAGCTTAAATAGGGGTCGGGCAGTGGTCTACCCGCCTGGGCGGTCCCCCAGTCCCGCCCGCGGTTCCCCAGTCCCTGGGAGCTTTAGCGCTTAGCTTTGCTTAGCTTTAGCTTTAGTTTAGCTTCAGTTTTTTTTTTTTTTTTTTTTTTTTTTTTTGTTCGCTTTCGCTTAGCTTAGCTTAGTGTTAGCTTCGCTTTAGCTTAGCTTTAGCTTAGCTATTGCTTAGCTTCAGCTTAGTGATCAAGCTTCGCTTCGCTTTGCTTTAGCTTAGCTTTAGTTAGAATTACTAGCCTTAGCTTGAGCGTAGCTGTAGCTTTAGCTTTAGCTTAGCTTTCGTTGTTTAGCTTAGTGTTAGCTTAGCTTTAGCTGGCTTTAGCTTAGCTTTAGCTTAGCTTCAGCTTAGTGTTAGCCTAGCTGTAGCTTAGCTTTAGCTTAGCTTTAGATTAGCTTTAGCTTAGCTTTAGCTTAGCTTTAGCTTAGCGTTAGCTTAGCTTCAGCTTAGCTTTAGCTTAGCTTTAGCTTAGTGTTAGATTAGCCTTAGCTTAGCTTTAGCTTAGAGTTAGCTTAGCTTCAGCTTATATGTAGCTTAGCTTTAGCTTTGATTTAGCTTAGCTTTAGCTTAGCTTTAGCCTTAGCTTTAGCTTAGCTTTAGCTTTAGCTTTAGCTTTAGCTTAGTTTTAGCTTAGCTTGAGCTTAGCTTCAGCTTAGCTTCAGTTTAGCTTTAGCTTAGCTTTCGCTTAGTGTTCGCTTAGTTTTACCTTGGCGTTACCTTAGCTTCACCATAGCTTTGATTTAGCTTAGCTTTAGCTTAGCTTACCTTAGATTTAGCTTAGCTTTAGCTTAGCTTTAGCTTAGCTTTAGCTTAGCTGTAGCTTAGCTGTAACTTAGCTTTAGCTTAGCTTCAGCTTAGATTTAGCTTAGCCTTAGCTTTAGCTTTAGCTTAGCTTTAGCTTAGCTTTAGCTTAGCTTTAGCTTAGCTTTAGCTTAGCTTTAGCTTAGCTTTAGCTTAGCTTTACTGTTACTACTAATGCTGCTTTCCTAGGGGCTCCAACTCCTAGGTAGGGTCGCACTGGGATAATTTGAGTCTTCCTCCTGTAGAGGGACAGGCCCGACGTAAAGCTGGGGAGGCGGGCCCGAAGCAGCCAGAAGCAGGGGCGCGGCGGTCCGCGACGAGACTGCACCCAGGGCTTGGGGGCACCACGTCCTCCTCCTCCTCCTCCTCCTCCTCCTCCTCCTCCTCCTCTCCCGAGGTCACGCGGTCAGAGCAGATAAAAAGACCGAGTGCCACGGCGAGGAGCGAGCGCCGATCCGCGTGACAGCGTTCGTGCGCAACCCTGCGGCTCGGGCGGCTGTCTCTGGGCCCGCGGTTGGCTCTTCGGGGGCTGTCAGACGTGGCCCTCTGGCTGGACGTCCAGCGCAGGGCTTCCCGAAGCCAGGTGCCTCGTCGAAGACGCGGCAAAACGCACCTAGAGGGCGGCGAGCCAGCACGCTGGGGCTCTAGTGCACGGGGCCCCTGGCGCAGCTCGTCGGGGGCGGGCCGAAAGCTTCTCTGCCTGAGGCGACAGCGGCCGCAAGCGCACTGTAGTGCAAGCGAGATGGCAGCTGGCGCCGCTGAGGTGAACCGCGCCTCCTCGCTGAACGTGCTGCTGATGCCCTCTGGCCAGTCAGGCGAGGGCAGCGGCCAGGATCGGAGCCGGAGCTCGGGCGCAGGCACGGGCACTGGTGCACGAGCCCGCGCCCCGGCAGACGCAGATGTCGACACCGTCTCGCACGCGGGCGCGCAGGCGCGCGCAGGGCAGGTGCAGTGGCACAGAAGCAGATGGACATAATCAGAGACTCGCACATTTGCGTCGGCCAGGCAGAGCAGCTGCGCTGGCGGAGGAGCAATCAGAACGTGGATACCGTGGAAGCGCGCCGTGCTACAAAACGCAGGACCATGGAGGATAATGGAGGAAGACGGGCATCTAGCAGAGGCTCGCACCGGCGCAGCGTCAGAGCTACAGGGAGAGCCGCGGCGGAGGGTCGGAGGCGGAGGCAGGCAGTTTGTTTGGGTGGGCAGAGAGGCTGGCCTGGCAGAGGGGTGCAAGGGGGAAAGAAGATTGGGTCGCTGGCGTGGCAGTCGGGCGCAGGTCCCGCAAGCAGACGAGCCTCCGCCGACATACCAGGCAGCCCCTCCTGGCTCCCCTCCCCTTCCCTCATCCCTCTTCCGTTCTCATCGCCCTCTTCTGCTTGCTGGCGCCGAGGGTGGGATTGCCATGCCAGCAAGCGCACAGTGAGTCCGTGCTGTCCCGACGCCGATGTTCCAAACACACTGCGTTGCCCATCGCAAGAACCATGTCGCTAAGACTGTGTGCTGCATGCGGTATGTTGCCTTATCCACACACTCTCTCTTTCTCTTCCCCCACTCTCTTTCTCTCTCAGCTTCTTGTTTTGTTTCTCTCTCTCTCTCTCTATCCCTATCTTGTTGTTGCTTTTTTGCTTCCCAACCATCCTGTGGTGTTGGGTTCTCGTTTTGAAGCCAACTTGAGGGAGGCCGGCGAATTTTTTCCCTGATAAATAACGAGGTCGAAGGAGGCCGGCGTATTAAAATTTGAGGATGTCTCGAGCGAAACGCTTGTTTTTCAGAATTTGTTGAGGATGTCTCGAGCGAAACGCTTGTTTTGCAGAGTTGGGGATGTCTCGAGCGAAACGCTTGTTTTCAGAATTTGCTGAGGATGTCTCAAGCGAAACGCTGGTTTTGCAGAGCCGACCGCGACGCGGAAAAGCGCCCCGCGCGAAGGAATTTCGATGATGTCTCGACTAATACGTTTGTTTTTGTACGATTTCCTGGAATTTTGGCAGGATGTCTCGAGCGAAATGCACGACCCCACCCTAGCACGACCATACCCCAGCACGACCACACCCCAGCACGACCAGACCCCAGCACGACCCCCCAGCACGACCACGCCCCAGCACGACCACGACCTCCAGCACGACCCACGCCCCAGCACGACCACGCCCCAGCACGACCACCCCAACGCACGACCACCCCCCAGCACGACCACCCAGCACGACCCCACCCTAGCACGACCATACCCCAGCACGACCACACCCCAGCACGACCACACCCCAGCACGACCACACCCCAGCACCAGCACGACCACACCCCAGCACAACCCGATCGATAAATCACATGGTGCGGACCACCCCAGCACGACCACACGCCAGCACGACCCCACCCCAGCACGACCACGCCCCAGCACGACCACGCCCCAGCACGACCACACCCCAGCACGACCCCACCCCAGCACGACCCACCCCAGCACGACCCCACCCCAGCACGCCCCACCGTAGCACGACCACACCCCAGCACGACCACACCCCAGAACGACCACACCCCAGCGCGACCCCCCCAAGCACGACCCCACCCAAGCACGACCACACCCCAGCACGACCACACCCCAGCAGGACCCCACCCCAGCACGACCCCACCCCAGCACGACCACACCCCAGCACGACCACACCCCAGCACGACCACAACCCCAGCACGACCATCCACCCCAGCACGACCACACCCCAGCACGACCACACCCCAGCAAGACCACACCCCAGCACGACCACACCCCAGCACGACCTCACCACAGCACGACCACACCCCAGCACGACCACGCCCCAGCACGACCACGCCCCAGCACGACCACGCCCCAGCACGACCACCCCCCAGCACGACCACCCCCCCAGCACGACCACCCCCAGCACGACCACCCCCCAGCACGACCACACCCCAGCACGACCACTCCCCAGCACGACCACACCGCCTTGGTTGAGTGGTTGCCTGTCGTCGTGGAATGTTTCGTGGGGTGTCTCGTGGAATGTTTCGCGGGGTGTCTCGTGGAATGTTTCGTGAGGTGTCTCGTGGAATGTTTCGTGAGGTGTCTCGTGGGATGTTTCGTGAAGTGTCTCGTGGGATGTTTCGTGAGGTGTTGCCCAGTTGGGTATCGTGAAAACGTGTCCATGCTCCACATGTCTATATCCCTTTCCGGGTTCGTGGGTCCATCATGTTTGCTTCCCAACCATCCTGTGGTGTTGGGTTCTCGTTTTGAAGAGAGAGCCCCGCGTCCCTCCCGCCCGCCTCCTCCTTCTCCTCCCTCCCTTCCCTCCTCCCTTCTCCGAGTCCTTGCCCCTGCCTTCATAATAGCTCTGCTTCGGTACACCCCTCACACGTTTCGCGGCCCCATAGGGAGCCCCACCTAAGGTCCCAGTGGCGCAGTTCGCATGGCGCCGCCGCCCCAGTTTGGCACACCCTTCACACGTTTCGTGGCCCCATAGAGAGCTCCATGTAAGATCCCAATGGCGTAGTTCGCATGGCGCCGCCGCCCCATTTGGGCACACCGCTCACACGTTCCGTGGCCCCAATAGGGAGCTCCACCTAAGGTCGCAGTGGCGCAGTTCGCATGGCGCCGCCGCCCCATTTCGGCACACCCCTCACGCTTCGTGGCCCCATATGGAGCTCCACCTAAGGACCCAGTGGCGCAGTTCGCATGGCGCCGCCGCCCCATTTTGGCACACCCCTCACACGCTTCGTGGCCTCCGTAAGGAGCTCCACCTAAGGTCCAAGTGGCGTAGTTCGCAGGGCGACGCCCCATTTTGGCACACCCCTCACACGTTTCGTGACCCCACAGGGAGCTCCACCGAAGGTCCCAGTGGCGCAGTTCGCATGGCGCCGCCGCCCCATGTTGGCACATCCCTCACACGTTTCGTGGCCCCACAGGGAGCTCCACCTAAGGTCCCAGTGGCGCAGTTCGCACTTTGGCACACCCCTCACACGTTTCGTGGCCCCATCGGGAACTCCACCTAAGATCCAAATGGCACAGTTCGCAGGGCGCCGCCGCCCCATTTTGGCACACCCCTCACACGTTTCGTGGCCCCATATGGAGTTCCACCTAAGATCCCAGTGGCGCCGTTCGCATGGCGCCGCCGCCCCATGTTGGCACATCCCTCACACATTTCGTGACCCCACAGGGAACTCCACCTAAGGTCCCAGTGGCGCAGTTCGCATGGCGCCGCCGCCCCATTTTGGGACATCCCTCAACCGTTTCGTGGCCCCACAGGGAGCCCCACCTAAGATCCCAGTGTCGTTGTTCGCATGGCGCTGCCGCCCAATTTAGGCACGCCGTTCACACGTTTCGTGGCCCCAATAGGGGGCTCCACCTAGGGTCCCAGTGGCGCAGTTCGCATGGCGCCGCCGCTTCATTGTGGCACGCCCTTCACACGCTTCGTGGCCCCAATAGAGAGCTCCAATATGACGCCACCCAGATGATGAACTGTGCCAACCCGAAGAACACCGGTGGCATGCACGGACTGCGCCAGGTGCACGTGGGCATGCGGATCCTGCTCCTGGATGCGCTGCACCACAAGAGCGGCCTCGTCAAGGATGCCGGGGGCAGATCGTGCACATCGTCGTGGGCCCTCGGGATCGGGACGACGTCGAGAAAGCCGAGAGAGACGGGGAGAAGAGGATCAATCTGAAGTTTGCCGCTGGGGTTTTGGGTGCGTATGGAGAAGTACGCGAGCGCGCCCTTCGTGCACGACCTCAAGCCAGCTGGTGTTCATCGGGCCTCGCACGTCGGAGCCGTTCACGTTCCGCACCTCCAAGGTCACCCGAACGGGCTTCCCGTTCCCGCACGGCAAGGTCATCGCCGCGGCGGCGTGCCTGGGGCGCACCATGCGCGAAGGCGACGGGGCAAGGGAACGGCGCCCCCGGGGCAGTGTACGGTCAAAGCTTCCGGGCCTGCGCGGTTCACAGCCAGACCTTCTCTCGGTCCCGTGGACTCGCCCTGAGCCGTCGGCTGTCCGGCGCGCTGCCACCTCGGCCGACGTCGCCCAGGCGTGATCCTGGGCAGCGGCCGCCACGAGGTGGGGAACGGCGAGACGGAGGGCGACGATTGGCAGCTGGAGCTCTACGCGCTGCTCCCGCGCGCTACGCGCCACCCTCGCCCGGGAGCTGAGCTTCGCCGATTTGATCCGCGATGCTTGACCTGAGAAGCGCCCCGCCCGAGCCTCGCCGTCCTTCGACGGTCTGACTGTTTGGCCTCGCGCCGCGGGCGACCCGCGCGCGTCGAGGGGGCCCTCTCGGGGCGACTGGCGCGCGTTGCGGGAGTACCGCGCTGCGCTCTGCCCAGAGCCTCGCTCGCCCCCGTCGTCGCCCTGCCCAGCGGCCACGGCCTCGCCCGCCATCATCCAGCCAGCTAGCTAGCTCTTTCTGCTCTGCGCAGCGGACGACCCGCGCGCGTCGCTGGGACCCCTCCGGGGCGACCAACGCGCGTCGCGGGGGCTCCGGGCGGCGCCGCGCCCGCAGCCTTGGACATAACGGAGAAGAGGGACGCGCGCGGGCAAAGAGGGAGAAAAATAACGGGAAGGAAGCGGGCGCGATCCTCGCGAGGAGCGTGCCGACATGGGCGTCGCGGCGTGCGGGCGCTGCTGTTGGGGTTCCAGGGGAAGCTTCTCGCGGCGGCCACGCTCACTGTCACGAGCGCCCAGGGTCAGGCATACGTGAACCAGTCACATTCGTTTTTACAAATATACACATTAGTGTACACACCAGGCGTGGCCATGCTTACAAATATATTCACGCGCACGCATACCCATTCAAACTCAGACTCGTTCGCGCTCGGACTCACCCGCGCTCAGGCTCTCGTACCCCGCCACGCAATCCAGCGCACCCTTCATACGGTTCGGGGCCCCATAGGGGGCGCCACCGAAGAAAATATTCACAATTGCAGTACTCACAGCTGCATATGGTTGGGTTATTCGCAAGGTTTTTTTTGTTGTTTTGTTCGTCGCTCTCTCTCTCTCTCTCTCTTTCTCTCTGCTTCTCGCATTCACGTCGTCACGAACATCTGCGAGATGATCCGGCGGATGATTCGATGCGAAATCGAAATTTACAAATTTCTCAAATGACGGAACTGAACGAAGAAGGTGCGCGGATGATTGGGTGGATAAGGAGAGGAAGTCCCGTCTGGTGGAGTTGGACGGATGGCGCCGTTGCCCCGAAGGCGATCGTTCAGTTGCCTCCGATGGGCAAGAGGGCTGGACTTCGGGGAGTGCCGGTTCCGAAGATGGTCGCCATCTCGGCGGCTTTCAAGCAGGGCGGCCTTGAGGCTGGCATGGGATCGGGCACAGAGGAGGTGCAGAGGGGATGGCCTGTCACAGGGCTCGAGCTAAACGGTGTTTGGGCGATTTCGTGGACCGTTTACGTTGTGATTTTTCCCGGAAAGGGCGTAGGCCCAGGGTTCTCTTTTAGTATGTAAACATGTCCCCGGTGCCCAACTTGAAGGAGGCCGGCGGATTCTTTCCCTGATAAATATCGAGGTCGAAGGAGGCCGGCAGATTAAAATTTGAGCATGTCTCAGGCGAAACGCTTGTTTTTGAAATCCCGATCGATAAATCACAGGGCGCGGGACACCTCAGCACGACCACACCCCCAGCATGACCACACCCCAGCACGACCACGCCCAGCACGACCACGCCCCAGCACGACCACACCCCAGCACGACCACACCCCAGCACGACCACACCCCAGCACGACCACACCCCAGCACCAGCACGACCACACCCCAGCACGACCCGATCGATAAATCACAGGGCGCGGACCACCCCAGCACGACCACACCCCAGCACGACCCCACCCCAGCACGACCCCACCCCAGCACGACCACGCCCCAGCACGACCACACCCCAGCACGACCACACCCCAGCACGACCACACCCCAGCACGACCCCACCCCAGCACGACCCCACCCAGCAAGACCCCACCCCAGCACGACCACACCCCAGCACGACCACACCCCAGCACGACCACACCCCAGCACGACCCACCCCAGCACGACCACACCCCAGCACGACCACCCCAGCACGACCCCACCCCAGCAAGACCACACCCCAGCACGACCACACCCCAGCACGACCTCACCACAGCACGACCACACCCCAGCACGACCACGCCCCAGCACGACCACGCCCCAGCACGACCACGCCCCAGCACGACCACCCCCCAGCACGACCACCCCCCCAGCACGACCACCCCCCAGCACGACCACCCCCCAGCACGAGCACGACACCCCCAGCACCACTCCCCAGCACGACCACACCGCCTTGGTTGAGTGGTGCCTGTCGTCGTGGAATGTTTCGTGGGGTGTCTCGTGGAAGTTTCGCGGGGTGTCTCGTGGAATGTTTCGTGAGGTGTCTCGTGGAATGTTTCGTGAGGTGTCTCGTGGGATGTTTCGTGAGGTGTCTCGTGGGATGTTTCGTGAGGTGTTGCCCAGTTGGGTATCGTGAAAACGTGTCCATGCTCCACATGTCTATATCCCTTTCCGGGTTCGTGGGTCCATCATGTTTGGCAACAACGGCGGAACGAAGGCCAGAGCGAGGGAAAACGAAGGCCAACACAGAAACGGAGAACACTGTTTAGTATCGAGCCCTGGCTTGACATCCGAACGTCCACGAAGAGCACTGCAGGCATTCGGTTGCCCTCCCCGAGGCCCAGGGCCATTGGGGCGCAAGTTTGAATGCGGATCGGCGCGCGAAGCGCGGCCCGCGGGGTCAGGCATCTTGCGCTTGCGGCCGCCAACTTCCTCGGCGCGAGCATTGAAATTTGGAGGGTCCCGGGGCGCCGCCACGTCGCGGGAAGATTTTGCGTCTGTCACTCTGACGGTGGGATGTACAGTGCCGTTTTTTTATACATGCTCCGCGTGCGGATCATGTAGTAAAAAAGTGCAGGGATCTAGTGTTAAAAACGACGATGAACTTATGCATACATTTATTCATACATTAATCCCATGTGTTAAAAACTGCCCTGTCGAGGCAGCGTTTTGGGAGGAAAAAGGGGCTCCTGGTCGTGACCTCCGCGCCGCTGTGAGCCGTCCCTGGTCGCGTCGGACGTCGGGGGGGGAGCGGAGGCGTGCGGGGGGAGCGGGCGCGCGCGGAGGGGGCGCTGGAGCGCCGGGGGAAGACTGGAAAACTCAGGAGGGAAAAAATCACACAGACACAATTAATCGTCGATCCCCCAGAAAATATGGGAAAATTTGGAAGTGGTAGGGAAGACAAAAACCCAGAACATATGGGAAACTATGGGGAGTCTTTTTATGTGTGTGTGTGTATTTATCCGTAAGGGCTTCGCCCCCTGCCGCCGGCCCCCTCTCTCGGAGAATGGGCCATGGAAGAGCTAAGTCATGAGGCTTTGGCGCTGTCGTGCAGCAGTATCAGAACTTCATGCGATGCCGATTCGCAATCGGCAAAACCAACTGATCACAAGAGGGGTTACCACACAGGGCGATTGGTAAGACGTGTATGGTTTACGAGCTTGGTTACCACACCTTGGGATTAAAGGGCCGAGGGAGTACTCGCAGTTTGGGTTACCACGCCTTGCGATGGATGTGCGTGAGGGGTGGCACCGAATTTCAGAAATGTGGCAAATCCCGATGTTTTTGGACCCTGACCCCGCGGATCTGCGTGAGGGGTGGCACCGAATTTCAGAAATGTGGCAAATCCCCTGTGTTTTTGGACCCTGACCCCGCGGATCTGCGTGAGGGGTGGCACCGAATTTCAGAAATGTGGCAAATCCCATGTGTTTTTGGACCCTGACCCCGCGGATCTGCGTGAGGGGTGGCACCGAATTTCAGAAATGTGGCAAATCCCTTGTGTTTTTGGACCCTGACCCCGCGGATCTGCGTGAGGGGTGGCACCGAATTTCAGAAATGTGGCAAATCCCGTGTGTTTTTGGACTTTGATCCCCGCGGATCTGCGTGAGGGGTGGCACCGAATTTCAGAAATGTGGCAAATCCCCTGTGTTTTTGGACCCTGACCCCGCGGATCTGCGTGAGGGGTGGCACCGAATTTCAGAAATGTGGCAAATCCCATGTGTTTTTGGACCCTGACCCCGCGGATCTGCGTGAGGGGTGGCACCGAATTTCAGAAATGTGGCAAATCCCCTGTGTTTTTGGACCCTGACCCCGCGGATCTGCGTGAGGGGTGGCACCGAATTTCAGAAATGTGGCAAATCCCCATGTGTTTTTGGACCCTGACCCCGCGGATCTGCGTGAGGGGTGGCACCGAATTTCAGAAATGTGGCAAATCCCTTGTGTTTTTGGACCCTGACCCCGCGGATCTGCGTGAGGGGTGTCGATTTCGAGCCCCCCCAGCAATTCAGACAACGCGCCCAGGGGGTGCTAAAAGTCTTGTTTGGGCCGCCCCCCCCCTCGCGCGGTCAGTCAACTAGTTACAGTAACCAGCAAGAAGCAGAACTGTAACACTGGAAACTACAAGCTACAACTGGTACTGGAAACTGCGAACCCGCGCCTACAGCCTGGTGGCCCCACAAGGGGGCCGGCGGATTTGTGTGTCCCAGGGCCCCTTCAAAAACATCGGGTCTCTGCATTCGGACAGAAACACCCCCACCCTGAGGCGTCGATGAGTGAATTGTCCGTTGTCGGTTCTCGAGAGGGCGCCGCGGCCGTCATTTTTATTGCAGGCTTGCGCCCGCCAGGTTTGGGCCCGGGGTCGTTTTCTCGAAACCACGTGTTGCTAAAGGGGGTTCTGTCCATCCCCGAGGGGGTGTGAGAAGGGGCGGGCCGTCTCAGAGGGCTCGGAAGTCCCCTGGCCCTCTGAGAAGCGTTCTAAGCCTTCCCCGAAGGCACAGGAAATGTCTCAGAAGGCGCGAGGGCTTCTGAGGAGCCCCGCCGCCCGCTGAGAAGGTCTTCTCCTCCTCACTTCCCCCCCTCGCTCCCCGCCGACCCATGCCCTCCTCCCTTTCCCCGTACCCTGCAGAGGCGTGCTGGTGCTCGCGCAACCCGCCTCTTCGACCGCGACTCCATGCACCCAGCAGACGGCTTAAACAAAAAGCGTCGGCAACTGTCACGGACTCCAGACTTCGTTTGAGACGGTCAAGAATCTGGACTGGACCCTGGGCGTTTTCTCGGGGCTTCGCTTTTTCCCAGAGTTTTCGTGCATCCGGGCTTTGGGCAGCTGTCTAAAAATGGTGTTCGAGTGAAGTCCATTGTCTTAGTCTAGAATTCTAAGAGGGGGCGTAACGTACTGGGAATGCAAAGAAGGCGATGCATGGCGAGGCTTCCCAGTCGGGCGGGGATTCCCGATCCCGCCCGCCAGAGCGTCCTCTCTCTCTCTGCTGCTGCTCCTTCTCCTCGCTGCAGCTGCATATTGTTCCTGCAGCCCTTCCGCCCTTGGCATCGCTCGGCTTTTCTCTCGGCGAGGATTATCGAGGAGCATCTTGGAGCACCTTGCGAACAAAATGCACGCGCGAAGTCGAAGCATGCACAGGGAATGGACGTCCGAGCGATGGCCAGCGCCCCCCCCCTGCGGATGGCTGCACCGAGTCATTGGACCGACTGGCATTCAAAAGAGCGACGCTCTCGATCACACTGCCGCAGCTGGAAACATGGGATGCGCCTCAATGGGAGGAGTGACGCGTTCGTAGGCCAAACCGCACCTGCATGCTAACAGTGATGTGGCGCCAGCGGGTCGTAGATCAACGAAGAGCACGAAGCGCGTGTCCAACGTGCGACCACACATCTCACACCATGTTTAAGTCGGGCGCGTCCCTCTACGGGAGGAATATTCAAACATACGCAACAAATATCTGGGAACGATGTTTTAACTATTGTTGCGTATTATTGCACATGTGTTTATTGTAGTGGCCTCCGGCCAGTGCCGCCGATCCGGGGCGCTCCGGGTGCCTGTGGAAATGAACGACGACGAGGAAGACGAAAACGACGACGAAAACGAATACCTCGACGACGACGACGACGACGACGACGACGAGAGCGATGACGACGACGACGACGACGACGACGACGACGACGACGACGACGACGACGACGACGACGACGACGACGACGGCGATGACGACGACGACGCGAGCGACGACGACGACGACGACGACGATGACGCGAGCGACGACGACGACGACGACGACGACGACGCGACGACAACGACGACGACGACGACGACGACGACGACGGGGACGGGGGGGGAGCTGGGTTGCAGGGGGGGGGGGGCTCTGTCGGCAGGGTCCGCTCAGCGGGGGGGACTGCGGGAGATGGGGGGGTCCGCTCTGCAGGCGGGGGGGGGGGGGGCGGCAGGAGG